ACAAAACATGGGCATTTCTCCTGCTAGCGCTAAGCTAGCACATTTGTTTTGGTTGTATTTACCCAGAATGTCTTTCGCCATAGTCCACTTCCTGCTTTTGGAGCGGTCTCTGGTCCTCTTGGCTTTCACACTGCACTCGAACGGCGCCAGAGTTCACTTCAGTCGAAGCGACACAGAGAGCGAGGAAAAGAAAAGAACATTAGTGGTTTGTTGTTTTTTTTATCAGCATTAGTTTCACTACAGCAACTGCAATATTTAAACTGTCAATAAACAACTGGACTAATTGTCTCGTTTGTTTGTAGAGCATGTTGATATTTATAATAATCAAACAGGATGAAATATTTCATCAAGTTTAGGAGCCATCGTTTGTTACATTTTAAAGTTATTTTAACAGGGGCATATTAATCCATAATATTAAACTATTGACCAATATGCTTAGTCCTCTCTTGCATCTTGACAGGATCCAAACTGGTAATAGAGAAAATACATGTTTTGTGAAATTGGGTGAAAAATAAAGGCGCTGCAACCATTTTTGTGACAGATTCCCGCATTGAAAACGTCTAGTTTTGCAGACGTGACTCAATGACTCAGTAATGGCGCCTGCAGGAGCGTCGCTAGCTTTAGCAGCTAACAGGCGATGTCCAAACCACTAATGTGGATCAATGGAGAAACTCAACTACTCAAATCTGACATCAGTTTTGTTTACATTTTGTGATGCAGGAAGTTGCGCTGGTCTTCTTCACAAGTTTTTGTGTTGTTTCCTTCAGTGGGTCTTAGTGCAGGCGAAGTGGGGAACAGGTTTTTCAGTCAGTTTTGACTGTTTGGCAGATTGCGGTGAGAAAGCAAATCGCACCAGCTAAAAATCAAATCAAATTTTATTTGTATAGCACATTTCAGCAGCAAGGCATTTCATGTAACCAATGTTGCAAATTTGATCCCAGACCATACAGAGTCTATGGGATTATCACATGTGAAAACACTCTAAGCTTTAACCTTTTTGGGTTTTTCCTCTGGCCATGCTCAGATAAATGAGCAAAGCTTTGTGAGATGTTTAAAACTTGTTTACTGCCAAAGTTTTAATTTACAGGTTTTATTTTGTATTATTTATAGTTTTTGTTAAGACTCTTATTTTGAAGGTTTAAGGTAGGAAGTAGATGTAGAAGCGTCTGGTTACCAGGTTACCAGAGACGCTTGCGATATAACAGCATCGCGTTGGCAAGCAGATGAAGAAACATGATTTAAGTGTAAGAATTTACTGAATGACCTCATTTCTACCTCAAAAGGAAGGGTTAGCCAGCGAGGTATGTTTATATGTTTTATGTTATTTTTATATCGATATTGTATTCTTGACACCATCTCACTAAGTTTACGTTGTGTTTTAGTTCGACGGTGGTGTTGGTGTCAGGGAAACTGAAGCTGTAATAAGAACGACCTTAAAGAGTTTCATTAAGCTGACTTCACACCAGCAGTGCGACGAACTCTTAATTGCCAGAACAAGAAGAAGAGGTGGAAGTGATACTTAGGATATTGTTTTATAAACTTTCAACTTTTCCACAATTGGTTCCCTAACCTCTCCCGCCTCCACTTTGGTTGTCACAGTGTCGAAAACACGCATGCCACACAGATTTGTATTTGTAAACCAGGCTTCCTTTTACTATATTACCTGTGCACTACAAAAACACAAAATCTTACCAAGTATTTTTGATCTAGTTCCTAGTGCAAATCTCTCACTACACTTGAAATAAAACTAACTTAAAAGTAACATTTCAGGAAGCTATACGATCTTGTTATATGTGAATAATTCCTTAATATTGGAATATTAATGAATTATTATTAATTAATATTAATCCTTAATATTGACTCTTTTAAAAAAATGTAGTTCTATCAACAGATTATTTAACTTATAAGAGAAAATTTTTTGTTCTAAAGGAAATTGGTCAGAATTTATTTTTTTTTGCTGGAACTCTGCTGGTGTTGCTAGGTAACGGGCTGAGGTTGCTAGGCAACGGGCTGAGGTTGCTAGGCAACGGGCTGAGGTTGCTAGGCAATATGACTCAACATGTTGCAACTCCCAGCGAAACTGGCACTTTCTCATCAACATGATTTACTTAAAACAAGCTTCTATCTCACAGTAAAGTTATTGCAAGTTCATTTCCTCTGAAGTGTAATAAGATATTTGCACCAGAATATACGCAGAAATACTGTTTTGTTGGTTTTCAGTGTGTTGGTCAATCACATAAAAAAATCCCAGTAAATATTTGTGTCTGTAATGTGGAAAAGAAAGACTAGAGAGATTTTGTTTGTTGAACAGCCAGAGGGCAAAAAAAAAAAAAAAAAAAGATGGTGTGACCAGAAAAATAAAACTGAATTTTATACAATTTTGTTTTTCCACTAGCAATAAAAACAGCTTTAGGGAGAGTCATTCAGCATGAAGGCTGGAGCTGTTTGATTTAGACGGGGTCATGGAAGGTAAATCAGAGTAAACTCTGTTCTCCGTGAAGACAGAGATATCAGAAACTTGAAAGCGAGTGGACCAGCGCTGGCTGTAACTTATCATTCTGATCTGTTCTGTGCTTCAGTCTTTTTTGATTTCCCATCAGCCGTGGTTTCTGGAAGCTCAGAGTCTCAATAAACAAGCCCTTAAAAAAAGAAGAAGAAAAAAAGAAAGGCTGCTTTCCTAGATCTGTGCTATCCTCAGATAAACCTGGAGCTGCTGCCAGGAATCCAGGAGGTTTAAAGGAGGTAGATGTGAGAGTTTGCAGCCACAACAACCAGTGAGTAATTTTAATGCAAAAGGCACAGCAGGTGAGCTTCTGTTTTCTCACCAAAACGCCTGGGAGATTCGGATTATAGATTGTTATTCCAGCTCATCTGTGGGGGAGGAAAGTGGGCAGAAAGTGGCGAGAAATAAGCTGTTTTTAAGAACTGAAAAGCAGATTTGTCGGCTAAATGGTTCGTCAGACTGCAAAGTTCTGGTTACATCACAAACAAGAGTCACATCTTTAACCCAATACAGATTATTAGTCCAAATTGTTTGGTATGTGGGACAGATTACTTGAGTCAATAATACTCGTGAGCAAAGAGAGTTAAAATAAAACTAAAATAAATAACTGTTTATTATGGAAAACAGACGTTTTTTGGGGGGTTTTGTATCTAAAACATGAAAAGGATTTTGTTGGATTAAAAGAAAGAAATCTACTTTTCAAATTATTTTTGGCTCACTTGACCCATTTTATTAGGATTTGGGTCACTTTCTTTCAATAAATTAAATAAAAGCTGAAGAGGATGAATAATTTGTTGTTGTTCTGAACTTTCCACTCTAACAAAATTATTAATAGTTATTTTTTAAAAGTTAAACAGTCTCCATCTACATTTCAGCTAATATTACCTTAGCTTAATCAAAATGTTGGAGTAACGAACTCATTCGTAGATTTTGCTTCACTTTTTTCACATAATAAAACATTTTGTCTTGAACAAAAAGGATTTCTGACGTTTTTTATACTCAAATGTTCTGTGCGGTTTGCAGCTGCGCTCAGTCATGATCTCATATGTTGCTAAAAAGTTAAATTAGTTTTGTCGTATTTCCGGTGCACTGATAAAGACAAAAACACGATTTCGTATTTTTGCAGCGTGGTTTCTGAATTGCAAGTCGACAACAAAACGACGTGACAGAACTCCACCTGGGTTGCTAGGTAACTGATGGGGTTGCTAGGTAACTGATGGGGTTGCTAGGTAACTGATGGGGTTGCTGGGTAAGGACTCAATGATTGTGACCCAACATGTAACAAGTGAAAATATCTGCTGGTATTAGTCCTGTTTCTCTTTTTTTAACAAATATTAAGAAGTTATTTACTTGAGTTATTTTAAGGATGAAAATGACAATAATTTGTTTACGTTACAAAGTAATGTTTCCACATGAGTTTCTTTCAATATAAAACTCAGAAAACTTTAACAAAAACTGCAGGTGTTTCTATATCTGGTGAATCATTCAGTGGGTAGAGAATCCAGAAATATGACTCAAGAAAAAGTGAGAAGTACAGTAAAAATACTCCTAGAAGTAATTTGTTACTCATGTTAATGTAATAGTTACTTTTTGCCATCTGAGCCAAAATGGTAAAATCAGGCCTTTCAAATGTTTTGATCCAAATCTTGAAAGGAAATTTTTAAATTGTGCTTTAGGTCATTTTGTAGATAGAAAAAAAAGACTAAATTTATGCCAAAAATGACATTTTGTGATTATTCTCAAAAAATTTTAAGAAATGTTTTTTAAAAATTCGAAATTCAGAAATTTCCAAGTCTTTGGGAAGAAATGATAACATTGATCTAAAATTTTATTATTTTTTTCTAGCAATTTTTACTGTTTTTTTAAGAATTTTTGTGAGATTACGCTTAAAATTTCTAAATTCTGTTTAGAAATTTTCTACTTTAATTTAGCATGATTGCTGTATTAAAACAGATTTCTAGTCTTCAGTTCCTTTTGGGCTCGATTGAATAAATTTATTTTCAGTAATAAGAACAGGATTTTGGTTATTTTGTTTAAATATATTTTCTATATTTAGCCAAGTTTAATAAAGATTAAAAGCTGATTTGGGGGCAGCAGAGTCGGCTCTTCAGTAAAAGTCTTTTTACATTTTGTTATAAAAACATGAATACTTTGTGTTGTACATTACATTTTCCTGTGTAAGAAAATGATGTTGGTAACAGTTTTTACCCTGATTACAAATTAAAAGTCTCCATCTACAGGCCAAATTTGTATCATGTTTGAATTGCAATTGGTCACTGCGCGAAATCAGTCCAGGGGCCACAAATGGCCCCCGGGCCGCAGTTTGGAAACCCGTGGAACTAGTAGAACTAGTTTAGTCACATTCTGCTCTACGTTTGACTTCCAAAGTGACATGAATTGGTTTTTCCTGTTGGTTTGTTCAACACTTCCGCTCCTGGACGCCAGCAGGTAATCCCCGCCATGTGAGGCCTCGGCCCGGTTTGGAGGCGGGCTGAGATCCATTCAAACGTGCCAAAGCTATAAAAAGGGGCGGGAGACACAAGTAACCCAACTTCAACTCGGAGCCCGTGGCACAGCGCGCAGGGCCGTGCAGGTTCCCATCAGAAAGTGATGATGAATACAGTCAAAGCTGTGAAAAACGCGGCGGTTTGTTTCGTCCTGCTGCCCCGCTTCCTCATGGCAGCTGTGGTTTTCTGGCTGCTGGACTTCTTGTGCATCAGGAAGAGGTTTTTATTCAGGGTGAAGGAGCAGGGAGGCGATGCCATTGATCCTCCAGTGTGCATCTCGGACTCCAACCGGCTCTTCAGCCTGGAGTCGCTGAAGGCCGTCTGGCACGGCCAGAAGCTGGACTTCCTGAAAGCGGCGCGCCTCGGACGCGCAGCGCCCAACACCGAAGTTGTGCGCCTGGAGGACCGGCAGCACTCCCGCATCCTGGACTTTGCGCACGGCGACCGGCCGCTCATCCTCAACTTCGGCAGCTGCACCTGACCGCCGTTCATGGCGCGCCTGAAGGCTTTCCAGGAGGTCGCGCAGCTGAACGCGGACATTGCGGACACCGTGGTGGTCTACATCGAGGAGGCGCATCCGTCCGACGGCTGGACGAGCACCGACGCGCCCTACCAGATCCCGAAGCACCGGAGTCTGGAGGAGCGGCTGAGCGCGGCGCACCTGATCCACCTAGAGGTGCCCGGCTGCCGGGTGGTGGCGGACAACATGGAGGACACCTCCAGCGCCGCGTACGGGGCGTATTTCAACAGACTGTACGTCCTGCAGCGGGGCACGGTGGCGTACCAGGGCGGCCGGGGACCGGAGGGTTACCGGATCTCAGAGCTCAGAGACTGGCTGGACCAACACCGGAGAGCGCTGCAACAAACTGAGAGCAGTCTGGCTTTAAACGTGTAAAATAACTCCGTTTCTCTCTTTGCCTCTATAGTTAAAGCGTATTTATTATTATTTTTGTATTATTAGAGTTTTGTGGAGACTCGGAGCGGCGCGCATCTCTCGGTATTGTTGTGAAGTTCGGTTTTTAAATGGCTCCAGTCCAGGAAACCGGTGCTGATGTTTCTATACCAGTGGATCAGCTGCTCTGCTCTCAGTCTTGCATGCGTATTTCTCTAAAAATATTTTGTTTTATTGATATATTTTTTTAGGTTTCTGTTTCTTTTTTCACACAGATTTAATTATTGTTGCCTATCTTGTATTTTGATGTTTATGCAGAAAACAAAGGATCAGATTTCCTCTAAAATAAAGCACAACTTACCCCATTTAGTAGTTTATTTCCCGTAATTCATTTTCTGAAGGACATGAAATCCTTCCAAGGTGGAAAACTATGTATTTTTGAAAAGAATACAATATTTTCTGTATAATTTGAGCCAATTTATAAGGTGGAGAGCAAAGCACACTGTAAAAACACAAAATATTACCTATTATTTCTGTCTAGTTTCTTGTGCAAATATCTTATTACCCTTAAAATAAGACAAAACTGACATATAAGTAACTTTTCAGGATACATTTTGATGAAAAATCACTTATTACTGGCAGATTATTACACATTTTTTTCATATTTTAAGTGAAATAATCTGCAAATGAAACAAATACGTTTTTAAGTTAATATTAAGAAATTACTGACTTAAAACAAGCTCATATATCCCACTGAATTGTTACTTATGAATGAGTTTTGCCTCATTTCAAGTGTTTCAACATATTTACAGTAGAAACAAGGCCAAAAATACTTAGTAATATTTTGTATTTTTGCAGTGAAGTTCTCTTTCTGTCACATTTATCAGGATAAAACATCAAATGAATCTTTGATTTAAACCTTACCCATTATTAGATTCATTTTGTGTCTCAGTAAAATTCATATTTTAATAAAAAGTGTTCACCTGAAGGAACAAATTGCCTAAAGATTGTAAAGAAAACTGCTCTTAAGGAAGAACAAAGACAGAGATTTTGTAACATAAATGTTAAAAACATTGAACAGATGAAGCATAAACATGTCCAGAGTTGCAAACAAAATGTAGATTTTAACTCTAAATCAAACAAAATCTTGTAAATCTGGTTCTTTAGATGATAAAATCATCAATTTAATGCAAAACTTCCAAACATATTTTGACTCAAAGCTTCATTTAACGCTTCAAATAAAGCCTGAAAGATTCAGAGAAATGAACAGAGAAAGGCTGGATAAGAATGAAAAGAGGTGAAGTTTTAAAAAAGATGCACCAAAATTGGAGATATTTAAGAACTTGTGCAGATTTAAAAGCTGTAAATCAGAAGGAGAAAATGGTTTTACAGTGAAGCCTATTAAATATGTGCATTAAAACTGAATATTTGAAAGCATCAGGATAAAAATGTTGGCCTTTAAATGCAGATTTTGTGCCCAGGTCCGTTTTGCGTCTAGCAGCGCCCCTGTTCTCCAACACTGTTCAAACGGTGTTTTTATATTCACCTCCACATGAAGATAATCTCACTTTATCAGATCAATCTGGATTATATTACTGTTTATGAAGGTCTAATTTTCTCACATCCATCACACAGCAGAAGTTTCTCAGTCTGATACGTTTTTATTTGTGTTTTCTGCTGAATATTCCCAATAATCCCACTAAAAACACATGAAATATATCCGGTTTTTATGGTTCCCCAGAAAAAGATTTCATTCAGCTTTTCTGAAGCTGGAGGGAAAATTCCTTCCTAATGCTTCAGATAAGACATAAATAAAAGTCAACAGAGGGAAAACTCATAAACATGAAGATAAAAGCCAAATGAGAACATCGAACACATAAAACCAAAACTGTTTTTATTTATTGCAGTCCGACTTTTAGCAACAGAAACGCTCTTTAGTTCATGATGATGCCAAGGAAATGTTTCCTCAGAAGTTTCTAAAAAACAATTGAATATCAAATTTCATCTGTAACAGCAGAACAAAAAGAGGAAACATTTTGTTTTACAGTTTGAGCTGCTGATGAGATCATGAACCAGACGTTTTAATACGCTTTAGTTTACAACTGAAAAATTTGGGAATTTTCATTGAAAATCAAGATTTTTGTCAAAGAGTTTTACAAAAAACCTCTTTATTTAGTCATTCATTCATAACAAAGTGAAGAGTTATCGACTTCAAACAAGCTCCTGTTTCTGGGTGAAAGGTTAAATGCAGGTTCGTTTAGTCTTATTTCGAGTGTCCTAAGATATTTGTGCTAGAATATAGATTAAAAATATTTGGTAAGATTTAGTTTTAAACGCAGGTCGTTACAGGGCCACTGTTCACAGGAAGACAGTCAACTTCCTCCAGAATCTCAAATTCTGAAATCAAACACAGAAATTTTCTAGAGAAAAACAAGTACATTTCTGAGTTTCAAAATTGTAAAATAATTAAGAAATTTCTCATTTCAAAAGTTGAACATTTTCTAAAAAATAATTGAGAAAATATGAGGATAATCTAAGAAATTTTCAGCAAAAAGCTGCAAAGGTTTTGAGCTTGAAAAGTTAAAAATTTGTTGGAAAAAACTGAGAAATATTTTACTTCAACCTCAGAAATTTTCTAGAAAAATCTGAAATTTTCTGTTTTGCAAAGTAGATTTGTTTTAATGTTTTTCTCTCGCAAATTTTTGAAATTCGAATTGCCTTTTTTTTTTTTTTTTGAAGATTTCTGAAATAAATCTCAAAATTTCAGATTTTTTGGGGGGGAAGTTTTGACTGGAAATCAGGAATTCCCAACATTTCTCTATAACATTTTTGAAAGTTTGTGGTGGAAATTTGCGCCATAATTTTTCCCATAACTCTGGGTTGTATCTTAAGAGTATTTCTCTGAACATTTAGCAGATATTTTGTGTTTTCAGGTAGAGAAATCCTGGTTTGACCCGCTGTGGGTGAATTTTGTGGCCCTGAGTCAGAATGGGAGCGTTTTGCTGCTGCTGCTCTGCTGCTGTTAGCGGACATGTTACTGGTCTTACTTTCAGGTCGTCCAAGTGACCTGAGTTTACGGCCCATCTGGAACAGATTTAAGGCAGAAACACAGAGTATTTATGTGGAGCTGACAGCTGACCGAGGGGTACCTGCCTGGATGAAATATCGCCTGCGCCCCTGAAAACGAACCCAACAGGAATTCTTTGGATCTGAATTCCTTCCATGTGTGATTTTCCACGGATGTTGAGTCTCATCTGTCTGCGGAGAGCCGATGGGAACAAATGGTTAAAGGGTCTCCAGTTTGGGGGGAGCTTTAACTTTTGCTGTTCTGTTTTGCTTTATGACTCCGGGTCTGCTGAGGTGTTTTTTTCTTCCCCTCTCAGCCGCTCTGGTCAGCTTTGAAGGTGAGGGCCCCTCTCTCCCCAGGGTCATAACTCCACAAATGAATGTCTGGTGGTGGGGAGCCTGGGGGCCTCTGCACACAAAAAGGGCTTCATTGGAGCTGGCATGTCAACATTTAACCACGCTCAAAACAATCTTCTTCCTGTTGGGAAAATAAAGCCGTAGTGCGATCCAGGATGAACGTCTCAAGAGAGTTTTAACGCGGCTCTGGTTTCAATATCAGAGGAAATCAATAAATATGACCGCAAACGTTGTGATTAGAAAATATTCTGCAAGGAATTAATGATGCAAGAGGAAAAGTTAGTGGAAAAAGTAAAAAAGTAAAATATTTATTTTTCTTTCAAAATGCTCAAAATGAGATGAAACTTTCAACGACAGAAAGTAAACAACGTGGCAACAGGTTTGAGTGGCGCCATCTTGTGGTTGAACGTTGTAACTATTTTTATTAGTTTTAGAAAAAAAGCTTAAAAATAAACAATTATCTTTTCTGGCCACTATATTAGGAACACTTGCAGCAGCTCAAGTTTAAACATTTAAACTAAAATAATAGACATATATTTAAAAATAAATTTTAAATATATGTCTTCTTCTATATAAAGCTTATTGCTACACTTTTTTAAACTTCTATAAATATAATACCAGCCTAATATTTGTTTTGTTGAATGATTTCCTCATAAATTCACCTGCTTTTCTTGTTTTCTGTTTTGTTTTTTAAAGGGAAACCAAACATAATTTCATGACACTTTGTTTATAATTCATATTACAATTGCTTAAAAGTCTGAAAAGTTTGGTTCAAATATGCATTATATCCAATTTATTCTAAAAAATCATCCACCTGTTGTTGATCAGTAGATTTCAGTTTTTACCGGTTTTGTGTCGGAGTTGATTAAAAAAACTAAATCGAAAACCACGTGAAAATCATAATTTATTAAATTAAACAGCGTTTATGTGACGTCATAAAAATAAGAAAAAGGTTGAATGAGAAAATATTTCATTGTGTTGATTTGCAAAGTAGCCACAAGATGGCGACATAGACCTTAGAGCTTTATCTCCATCTCGTAGCTGAATTGGCTTTTATTTTAAAATATATATTGAAAACTTTAAATTAGGATAATGTTCAGACAATATCTTTGACTAAATAAATGCAGTTTAATAAAGGTGCATTGAATTGAAATATGATCAAAAACCTAATTTATTTACATAAATCCAATTAAAATGCAGCAGATCATTGATTATATGGACTTAATGCACACAGTAAAACATTTTATTTCTGTTGATTCTGATGATTATGTGAAGTTCAGTTTCTCATCAGAGAAACATCCGGGCCCAGATACAGAACTGTGAATGCTGTAAAGGTCCGGTCAGGGCTCCTTTTGCATGAATTACTGCATCAGAAATCCGGGTTTCAGCTGAGCGAAACGCCTCATTGGGCCTGGCCCCACCTTCAATACGTAGATACTGTGAGGAAGCAGCTAGCGCGTAGAGAGAGCAGTGCCTACATGAGCATTACTGACAGCGCTAATCCCCTCTTCCTGGTTCTAATTGGGGTTTTTTTTTTGTTAATTTAATATTTTTTTATTTTTACAGATCATCTGTTTTAAACAGTCACAACTTGATGACTGTATATATTTTCAATATATATTTACATATATACATCTATTTTAAATGTATGTAAAAAATTTTAGCAGCTACTCCAGCTGGAAAAATGTAAATCTTTCTGAGTTTTTGCAAGTAAAGTTCTGGGAAGAGTTTCTATTTTACTGAATAACCTCCAAATCTTCCTCATGACACTTGTGTGCCGGTATGATGTGCAACAATGTAGGAACATTGAAAATAGAAAATATAGGAAGTAAATTTCTGCTGAAAAACAAAGATTCTGAGATTAAGCTCAGGAAACTTGGAGATGTTTGAGTTTCAAAAGTTTTCTTTTAATAAAGATTTTTTTCTGTTTTTCTACAAGATTTATGAGATTAATCTCAAAATTTGACTATTTTTCAAACTTGTATTAATCTAAAACTTTTAGTTTTTCTTACAAATTTTTGACTTTTCAAGCTCAGAAATCTTTTTTTTCCTATAATGCCCTAATAAACCGTCATAAATGTAATATTCCAATTCTATAGATGAAAAACCCTGATATACATTTCATGCTATGAACCAGATTATTGAAATAAATTAACTGTTCAAAAAAATTCTAATTTACTGGAAAGGTGTGAAAGAAAAACATTAAGCAAATTATTGATGGGAAGTTAAAGGCTTTAAAAACAGGTGATACTACAGCAGAACGTTGGACATGATGCACTTTACTAAAAACAATGTTTTTCTGTCTTAAACAGCACATCATTTCATAAACAAACGGATGACTTCATGTTTTAAGAAGGTTTTCAAATGCAAATCAAACCTGAAGTAGAATTTACCGTAAAAAGAAAAATAACCACCAATTACCGACGTCGAATATTTGCAGAATGACACACAAACCTTTTTCATTTCAAATTTTACGACAAAATGTACCACACATTCAAAATACTTTGCAAGAACTCAATTAATAAATTAAACTGAATTAATAAAAACATTATTTTCTGCTTAAAAAGGGGGTTGATCCAGTTTAAGGAAGCAATACAAAGCAGGTCAGAGTTCATATGTTTGTTAAATGGACTGTGAAATTGGAACACAGACAGAAAAATTAAATCTCAGTAAAACCGTTAATAAATGCACAAGCTGTCAATTAATGGAGAAACATAATTAGCATTTATAGAAATAGACTGAATCAGGACACTTTTCTGTAAAATGTTAAAGTTGAGTTGCTGTGGAAACATGAAACAAACATCTAAAGTTACCTAAATAATTTTTAATTTTGATTATTTCTGTGTTGTAACTTCTTTGCAGTAAATTTTGTAATGTTGGAAACCATTACAAAATTTTTAGAAATTATTGCCACATTTCTAAAAAAAAACAAAACTGGATTTCAGTGGCGATGCTAACTTTTTGATTAGCTCTGTAGCGATTAGCTAACTTTGAAAACATTTCGCGCACCTAGCTTTCTATAAATTAACTTTCCAGATGAATCCCAAAGAGCTACTTTACTTGTTTTGTAAATTTTCAGTGGAATAAACTGAAGTTTTTGTAACAAGCTGTTTTGAATTCTTCAGTGGATTCAATGTTTATGATTTGTGTAGGCTAGCTAGCTTTGCTAGCCCTAAGCTAGCTTTGCTGATTGTACCGCTGACAGAACGCTTTGCCAATATTCCGTTTCGAAACAATAAATAAATAAATGCGCAACTGAGACGTTTCTGTTGAATTAGAAACGTAATTAAAATCTCACGTGAATAAGTTTGCTCACCCGAAAGCCACTTCCTGTTTTCTTCTTCGTGGTTTGAATTAGTGGCAACATTCTGTTGGTCATGTGACTTGATGCCTATTGTTTCCAAAATAAACCAATTTTGATGCAGCCAAAAAAAAAAACCTCATTAAAAAAAATAAAACATTCTAAATTGTTTCATTTAAGCAAACTTATTTGTTAAATGTCAAATTCTCCAACTTTGTGGAAATGCGTCTTATTGTAGGCTTGGTAAATATAAACAGCTTTTGGTGCAGGAAGTGTGATGGTATGGAAAAACTCAGTTTATTCTGTCCACTTTTATCCAAACCTAAACTTCAATCATCTAAATGAATCAATAATCCATTTTTAATTGAAGTTTTAATGGGTGCAACCCATTCAATCCACTTTCCTTCACAATGTGGCACCATTTAAATGGAAATAAAAGTTTTACAATAATTTTACAGTTGCCTAGAAACTTTGTTTTAAAGAAATAAAACATTTCCTTACTTTGTGTGCATGAAAACTGGACTAATATCCAACAAAGAACTGACTCATTGGTACATTTGCACAACATGGTGATGTTTGTTTTGTGAATTTATAAGCAGGAAAAACCATTATACACATCGACTGCACATTACTGTACAAACTCACCAATTATTAATAAATTTAAACTCATAAGTCCCACATAGATAGTTATGTAACAGAAATGTTTACACTTTTTGTCTAGAATGGTCACTACCAATTTACAATTAGACTATTCTAAAATAAAACTATTGTTTATAAATTGTGTACAAATTCATAAACAAAGTAAAATATCTCACAAAAAAATCTAATTAGAAGCACAAAAAGAAATGAGTGGTTAGAAGAGAGGTATAGATAAGCCACACAATGACATCTTTTGAATTTAATAGTTAATAGCATGACTGACTGATACACATTTACAGCCTCATGTAACGTTCGTCCCCTTGGTCGAATGTTACATTCAGAGCAGGATACATTCAGCCCAGTCTGCGCTAAACAGCTGCAAACAGTGACAGAGACATTGGTTGGGTCTCCCTCCGCAGGGAGCCGCTAACAGGAGGAGACGTTTTGATCAGATGGAGGTGTAGTGCCTCCCGAAGCTGGAGAGTCTAATCTTTTCTGGCAGGATGATGTTCACGGAGTGCTCCGGTTCTTCCTGGCTCGCGCTGCCAGCTTCCCTCAGCAGGTGTTCCCGCTGCTGCCGAACAAGCTGGCTGTACTTGGCGTTGGCCAGCCACGTCTCGCAGCGGCCAAAGAAGACTATTCCTGTGGTGCCCAAGATAACCAGACAGGTGAGCAAGGCCAGCATGCCGAAACAGATGAGCTGGCCGTGGGTGACCAGGACGCCGGAGGAGTGGACCGACTCCTTCAGGGTGATCTTCAGCGAGTCTCTTTCCAACGGTCTGAGCAGCTTGTGAAAGGCGTGGGCAGGGAGGGAGTAGTGCTGCGGAGTGAGGGCAAATCCTCTGTGCTCCACTGGTCTGGTGTTGGCAGGCCTGGTCCTGGATCTCTGTCTGTGATGGAGGGAGCAGGTGGGACCCGTGAACCATTTCTGGCAAACGCAGCGGAAGGTTCCGTCGGACTGACCGATGCATGCTCCGTCGTTGGCGCACGGCGCGCCCGCGCAGGCAGCGAGGCTGCTGGTGTTGTTGCACGTGAAGCCGGTGAAGCCGGGCGGACAGGCGCACGTGAAGGCCAGGCCGTGGTCCGTGCAGTTGCCCCCGTTGAGGCAAGGGTTCGGCTGGCAGCTGCCGGCGCTGATGTCACACAGGGCTCCGGAAAATCCAGGAGGACATAAACAGGAAGGGTCGGCCGCTGAGCCGCTGGCCTCCACACACGTGCCTCCATTCTGACAAGGAGAGCTGAGGGACACAACAAGACAAAGCATTTCAGAGATGAAGAAGGTCTAGCATTCATTATTTAAAGGTGACCTGTTATGCTTCCTTAAACAGGTTAGGATTTGGGCGGTACAAAACATGTTCATTAGTTTCTGCACAGAACCATTTGCAGATAAGAGTTTAGTCTGATCACTTCTGCCTGTTGTCTTTTTAAATCCAAATAACCTGCTGCTGGCCGCGCCTCCCTGCTCAACATTTACATCGCACGTGAAAATGGCGGCAAACAGATGTGCAAATAGCAGAAGTGGAGCCTCCTGCACAAAGAAGAATCCAGCAAGTGGATCCTAAATGGTGAATTAATTAAAAAGAATCTTTTCCAGCAGCCATTGTGAAGCGGTAAAACCAGCTAACCAAACATGCTGGAGTTCCATTTGAGTTGCTAGGTTACGGCTCAGCACCAAAATACATTCTCTTATTACCAAATTAGTGGTTTTAAGGGTTTTTTTTGTTTGTTTTTCTTTTGGCTGGTTTTAGAAGCAGGAGAAACCCAACTCCAAGTACAACAAATATCCAAAAAGCAAATTTTGTTGAGTCCATCCATGTTTTATTCATGTAGTTATGAAAGAGGAGGTAATGAAGATGAGAATTTAATCAGAAAGGTCAGAGCTTGTCTGGAGATCATTTTAATTAATCTGCCTCCTCCTTTCAGACGTAGTTCTGTTTTATTTCCCAGAAAAATAAAGGAGATGGTTCTCAGTAAACACACCAATTTACCACAGACTGAGTCATCGAGCAGAAAAAGCCTTATAAGCCGTCCTTGGAGGTTGTACCAAAAATACAGCATTTAAAGCTCTTTCACCTATGAAGAGCAGCTCATGCTTTCTAAACAGAAACCTCAGACATCAGGAGGATTTATTCTGACATTTCACAGCCACAATCATTTTGACTTTTTGAATAAAGTTCTCAGAATAAAAGAAAATATTTAATTCTTGAAACAATTGTTCATTAAAAAAATGACTTGATCTCGTTGTCAAAGTTATTTTTATTAAAATAACTTTTTTCTCATAATTCTACGATTTTTTTCAGCATCTTTATTCTGCTAATGTCTTGATTCTCGTATTTAAAGTTTTTCTTGTCTCAATACGGCGCCGTAAACAAACATACGTAACATTTTTCTGAATGAAGGACTTTAAATTTGACATGTCAGGGATACCGTATAAGAAGCTTAACATTAAACGGTTGAATTTCCTCCTTTATAGACCAAACTGGCCGTCTTGCTCCGTTTTTGAAACCTACGATCGACAGACATGGGATATTTAATTGGTTCTTCTAATCTCAGGAACAATCCTCTCAAGATGGCGGTTAAAGATCCTGTTTGTGCTTCTGTTTCGTCTTCCACTGAACAGCCAGACGTGACCTTTCTGGAGAGATTCAATCACAGGTCAGCCGTCTCCTCCATGACTGCGCAGACCGCAGCGTGGCATTTCTGACTTAAAGGTGACTTATCATGCTTCTTTGAACAGGTTAGGATGTTCATTACATTTTTTGCACAAAATCATTCCAAGATAATGAGATTTTAGTCTTGAGTTGCTGTCATAATTAGATGTTTCAGGGCGTCTTGTCACTTTAAATCCAAATACCTTGCTACTGGCCACGCCCGCTAACTCACCGTTTACACTCGCATATTAAAATGGCTGCAAACAGAAGTACAATTCTACAGTACATCTTTGAAAAGCAGAAGTGGAGCCTCCTGCACAACCAAAATGAACGCAGCAAGAGGTTTCTGAATGGCAACAGCAAAACTCTCGTGTTTCCCAGCAGCCATTGCACAGAAAGCAGAAAAACCAGATGAAATGGAACTGGGTTGCTCGGTAACATGCTGGGGTTGCTTGGAGGTTTTATAAAAGGCTTGTTTTCCAGACACCAAAAAAACATGAACTTATTGCCAAAAATCGGTTGTGTGTTGATTTTTTTAAAGACCTTTTTCTGTTTTAAAAGCAGTGGAAATCCAAATGGAAACACAGAAATTGATGTACGTCAGTTTTGCATAATAAACCCTTTAACTGTTATTTTTAATTTGCCTTTTGTAATTTAAATTGAGAAATTGGGTTTTGGATTTCCACTTGCTGCAAGTCGATCAGAAATCAATTAAATTCTGGAACCATAACAGTTGTTACTCACAAATGTTTGAGCGATATTCTAATTCCCCGAGCTGCACCTGTGATGCTCATTGGTATTCCTTTACTGCTGCGAGCCGCTCTTCCCCTTCACACTAATAAGAAACAGCAGGCTTCATTTTCTGCAAATTAAAAATCTGGACCCATTACGGGACATAAATAAAAGAAACCTCGGCTGCGCCTGTGAAATAATCCACCGGCGCTGACTTGTGAGGCGGCGTATCTGATCAATGTGGTCATGCTTAACAGGACACAGACAGATGAAAGCGCCAGATAGAAACCAATCAATACCTCCAGCAGTACTTTGGGTAATTACACGAGCCTCCAACACCTTGCCTGACTGAGTGTGAAGAAATACGGTTCCTTTGCAGACGTCCCTGCCTCGTAGCGCAGCCGATTAATGTTGGAACCACAAGCAGGGATCTGGGTTTTCCACCAAGCAGTTTATTTTGTGAGGCAGTTTGGTGTTGGCTCTCAGTAAGTCGGTTTGTTCTGGTGAAAGCTGAGGGCTTCAGGCAGCCGCCTGCGTCCCAGGAGTCCAACAGCCTGATGGGCAGATGGAGGATTCCTGATGGATAACAGCAAATTGCAATCCAGCAGCAGGAAGGAAAGCTCCTCAGCTTTTCCTCAGATTCAGAAACGCAGAGAACTTTGTTCAGCTTAATCTTAAGCTTTATGCTGCTGATTTATCTGGTTTGTTCTGTTTCTGAATGAGACTGAACACACTCATTTTACTTAATTTTACTTTAAATTCGGCAGCAAATTTAACACAGAAATTCACCTACAAACGTGACCCGATCCAAAACTATCAGTTCCGGACCAAATCGAGCGGCTCTCAGCCAATCAAATGAAGCTCCTTTAATCACATGTCAAGAATTCGAACTTTTGATTGCAGAAAATTGAAGTAAAAATTTTGAGAAGAATGACAACTTTTCTAAGAAATGTCAGAAATATTAGAAAAACTGAAAATTCTGGAAAAAGGCAACAGAATTCAGAGAAAAAACAAGAGAAACAACAGATTCCTTCAAAGGAATGTCAGAAATCTGAGAAATAAAAAACATCACTAGTTTGGGAAAAAGACAGCAATCTGAGAAAAACGTCAGAAATCCAAAAAATCCATCAGGGCTCCAGAAATCCAGGAACAATTTGAATTCTTCTGTGAAACGGCAGAAATCTGAGAAAAACCTCAGAAATCTGAGCTCTGATGTGAACTCTCAGCCCACTCAGACCTTGTAACTCTGCATGTTTTATTCTCTCAGTTCAGCTGTAAAAAGTTTAAATGATCTTCATCAGAGTTAATAGCAGCCTGTTAAAATCCAAGGTCAGTTTTTATCACCTTTTGTGAACAAGCTGGAGCTCAGAGTCTGAGTCTGATGTTGGCACCTCAGAGACCAAATATTCTCCATGTAAAGGCGATATAACATTTTCCCAATGAAACTGCAAAGTCGAGGCCTTTTGAATACAGAGACGCAGGAAGGATGCGCCGACGTCGTCCTGCAAGCTAAGCAAGGAAATCAGGTCACAGGCAGCTTGGTGGCTCTGAAATGTGACAGCCTGTTAAGAGCATTTTGATTTATTTGATCTTGAAGTATTGACATGAAAGGTTGAGTGCTTTGAAGTGGCCTAAAGAAAGCCCACAGTCTGTGGAAATGTCACATTTTATCCAGGACAGGATCATGTTTATACTTATAAAGTAGGAAATAATTGCTGTTTGATATGAAAACAAAAAATCCTGTAAAATAAAATCTCCATTTTTCAGGAAAAAGCAACTTCCTTCTTCACAAAATGGAAACAGAAATGGAGCAACATCATTTTTTAGCGGTTGGAGGATTTCTCTTGCTAGCGCTGCCTTTTGTCTTTGTTTTGGTTTCATCTACCCAGAATGCACTGCTCTGTGTGTTTCTGGAGCGGTCTCCAGTTTGCTTGGTGTTCACATACGCATTCGAACCGCACCAGAGTTCACTTCAACCAAACCAAGACTGACGATGGTAGACGGACCAGAGTTCACTTTTCTTGACTAATCGCACATTCGGATCTTCCCAAACCGCCAGCGTTCGATCCGAACCGGCCTGCGTTCGATCCGAACCGGCCTGCGTTCGATCAGAACCAGGCGGCGTTCGATCAGAACCAGGCGGCGTTCGATCCGAACCGGCCGGCGTTCGATCCGAACCGGCCGGCGTTCGATCCGAACCGGCCGGCGTTCGATCCGAACCGGCCGGCGTTCGATCCGAACCGGCCGGCGTTCGATCCGAACCGACCGGCCGGCGTTCGATCCGAACCGACCGGCCGGCGTTCGATCCGAACCGGCCGGCGTTCGATCTGAACCGACCGGCCGGCGTTCGATCCGAACCGACCGGCCGGCGTTCGATCCGAACCGACCGGCCGGCGTTCGATCAGAACCGGCCGACGTTCGATCCGAACCAGACTAAGCAGGTTGGTGGGAACGCGCTCATCGTTCTAACAGCTCAAAACAAACCCAGTTACAAACAAGATTTAAACGGATTTAAATGGAAAGTATTGAGACCAATTATTAGAGCAACGAAACTGAATTAAGTGAAACAAGAAAAGTATAAATATTGTTTTCATTAGTAGTGGCTGCAGATGAACACACACCTATCCTGAAGCAGTATAAATAATAGTTCCTATTGGTGAATAAAACAGGTTGTGGTACCCGTTCAGAAGGCAAAGTCTCTGCTTCGTCTGGCAGTTTTTTCCAGCGTAGCCCTGAGGACAGACACACAGGTAGCCGCCCTCTCCTCTCTCTATGCAGGTGGCGTTACTGGGACACGGCTTGGACGAGCACAGCCGCATATCTGGTGCAGAAAAACAGAAAATCACAACATCATGTGGTTTTTCACATCACTGTGTGCCTCTTCTAACATCTTTGTTGCTACTTTCGCTCTGCCGCCGCATGGAAGCAGCTTTGCATCATCAAAAAGACGGAGCCCAGTGCATAACACAGGCGATGCGAACATATGCTCGGGCAGAATATGAAAGACAGCGTGAACGCTCAGATAACTGGGTCAAACTGCGCTCAAAATACCTCATCCAAAAAATAAAGCAGAAACTCCTTTGAATTATTCCTCTTTGTTCCTCGCTTTGCTCGAGGGATCAACAGATTCCCTATTAATTATTCGGTTTTGTTTAAAAATGTCGTCCTTAGGACACCAGTGAATACATTTTCAAAGGTAAGGTGGTAGATTTCTATCTGCAGGGCCGGTCCAAACCTTTTCGAGGCCCAAAGCAGATTTTAGTTTGGGGGCCCACATACCAAGATGTCAACACCCAAATGGTTTATCATTCCTAAGCTTCTCTATGTTAGCTTAGAGCAGCTTCATTCTTAATTAGCTCAATAATTTCTCTGAACTCCGATCCAGAACCAGGAAGTCGGTGGAATCAACTCGCTCGCTCGCTCTTTGGTTACCTAGCAACTCACTCATTCTATGGTTGCCTAGCAACAACCTGCTGAGTAACTGGCGCAGCAGCAGTTTAAGGTTTCATGATTACTTAAAAATAAAAACCCAGTCTGGACTGAAAACTGTGGATGAAACAGGAAAGGTCACGCCAACAGTTTGGCAGCATTTCAGATATTTAAATGTTAATGAATAATTATCAATATCGACTGATCTGAAACAGCCTTAGTTTAAGTGTGTTATACAATTTTAACTATTAAATAGTAAAAAGGAAAAACTGCGAGTCTATGACTACCAAGGTTTTTAGCTGTTGTCAACAAAATGTGCTAGACCTTAAATGTATGCATAATTTATAGAAGTAAAGGGGACGCAGTGCTTGTCTACTGTCAACAAGCTCAGCAACGCGGACATGAACGGCACATAAAAGAATCTTCTTCCAGTGATGCACAAATGTGCAAAATGTCCACTTGTAAATAATAACATGTCTTTAGAAATTGTTTTTTCCATGTTTAGAAGCATTCAGTTTGTATTATTCCATGTTAATTAACGTATTTATCATGCTGGCCTGATGCTCTTGGGGGCCCCCCGGTGGTGTGGAGGCTCAAAGCAGCCGCTTGACTCGCACATCCCTTGGGCCGGTTCTGTCCTCTTTATTCTGAATAATTTCATGTCCTTTCTTCTGGGCAGCGGTGACTCAGCCTCACCTCTGCGGCGGAAAAGGAGGTTGATGCGACTCACCTTGGTCGCACAGGCTGCCCACCCAGCCCTCTTTACAGACACACTGCCAGGCTTTCTCACACGCGCCGTGCAAACAGCCTGGGAACGGGATGCAGCGGTCGCAGTTCTCCCCTTCCCACCCGGGTTTGCACCTGAAGGATCACAGGAGGGAGAAAAGAATAAAAAACTACAGCAGTTTGAAAGTATTTATACACCAACCCACACATCGCTTTTTGTTCTTATGTCCTCAAAACACCCAAAGCATCCAGAGGACTTAAACTATAAACTATTACTGGGGTTCTCTATGGTAAATAGAAATGAAAGAAAAACCCTCAAAGTAAATTCATAAAATCAACTTCTGCAGCAATTAGAGCTGCATATCCACTTGGAGATTAAACTTTTAGCACATTATTTTTTAAATTTGATTAAATATGGTTTTAAATTAAGTTTATAGATTCTAGCTCTGAATTTTCTGTTAAGAGTAAATAAAAAATAAACATTGTAAAAGAAATATTTTAAACCAACTTCTACAGCAAAGCACCACATCAATTCATTCTTTATAGAATATAGCTAAAACTGAGACAGATTTGATTAAATCTGGCCTTAAATGTTAAGTTTTTACAGTTTCTAGTTCTGGATGCATGCATAGGCTTTGATCTAAACCATTTAAATCAATTATAAATGAGCAGAAAACACTTCTTTAATCCATAATTTAGATACTCAGGAAGTAAAGTGTGACAAATGACAGTTTACAGTGGGTAAACTTGACCAAACTCAAAGTTTTAAAATGATTTATTTTTTAAATCCCAGCTGTGGAACCTCCAGGTTGTGGTTGGATTTCCCTGAATGAGGAACATTTAGTAGTCAGCTGATGGAAACGGGGTTGCAGGATGTGAGCCATCATCTGCTCAGGAATCCGAGGTAATTTTAGCAACACACCTGCACTTCCCCGGCTTCTCACAAAACCCATTTTCTGTGCTGCACGCCGCGCTGCATTCCCAGCCTGCAACAGAAACAGCCGCATTTTCACTGTCAGGAGTCACAAAACAGCCAAAAACAGCCAAATATTCTGCACTTTGTCCGACGGGAGGGAAAACAACAACAAAAGCATTTCATCTGGGATCAAATGAACGCAATTCCTTTGGGGTTGTTTGAAATGTCAGAGGAATGTTAGAAATCACGGATTACCTTCCGCTATTCCCGTCACGACCAGGATTAAGACCAACCCGATGAGATGCATCGTAATTTGAAGCAAGGCGACCCTCTTTGTCCTGCAGAGCCGCTGCAAGAATCACAAACTGCAATAAAAACCAAACGTTTCTCCACTAAAATAATCCCAGTTCCTACAAGTTTGTCACCAGAGAAACAACCGTCTTTAATTGGACAATTCTGCCAAATTTACAATTTGTTAGAATTTTTCTCATTTGAATCAGTTCAAATTAAACTTATTATGAAATAATTATCAGTCATTTCCGTCTTCGACGCACCTGAGCCACGGGGATCAGAAAGAGGAGAGATTTTTCCCAAAACCATCTAAACGCAACAAAGACAGTCTTACCTATGGCATCCAGACGCCGCGCCGCCGAACAGCGTCGCTCATATTTCACTGGTTCGGCTGGACTGTTGTTGCTTTCCGGAACCAGGCGGCGGGATCCTGGAGGTGAACAGGTGAACCGGCGCTCTGATTGCTCCGAGGCGGACCTGCAGGTTTGGACGGGATGATGGTGCTGCAGCGCGGCGCGTCCCGGCGCAGCTCGCTCCTCCCACTCAGCAGGCCCCCCGCTGGGAGGAGGCGGGACACTGCACAGAACCGAACCTCAGCCCGGTTCTGAGCCCGTCTCCACTGGACATATGAAGCTTCTGTGGATCAGCATCACTCACACGTGACAAGGCAACACACAGTCCCCCAAACCCAAAACCTAGACATTTTGAGATTTTCTGGGGAAAAACCTGTAAATTTCTGAGTTTGAAAAGTCAAGAATGTGCGACAAAAAAACTTAGAAATTTTAAAATTAATTTTAGAAAATTTATAGAAATTTTTCCAAAGTCAAAAAGTTTTTTCTTGAAAAAAACAAAACAAAAAAACTTAGTAATTCAAGTCTGAAAAGTCAAAAATTTAAAAGAAGCAAAAAAGGGGATAATTTAAGAAATAAAAAAAAATTCAATTAATATAAATAAACTGGAACATTTCAGAAAATTTCCAAAATTTGACAAGGTTTTTCTTGCAAAATTTTTAAATCTAGAACTCAGAAATTTAAGTTTGAAAAAAGAAAAATTTATTATAAAATCCAAAGAAATTAATTTCCGAAATTTTTGAGAAACACAAAAAAATTTCCGAGTTAAAAAACAAACATTTTGAAATTAATCTCAGAAATGTTCTACAAAAATAAAACTATGTCAGAGAAAATTTTCTGATTGTTCTCTAAAATATTTGTATGAATTTTCAAACTCTGAAATGTCCAAGATTTCTAATCTAAAACTTTCACAGCTTCATGTGCTTCAGATTGGCTGCTGCTCTGTTTCAACCGTTCACATCGAGTTTTTAATCAGATTTCTTTGCATTTGCTTTTGTAAACATACAAATATGTTTTTAAATTTGTGTTCTTGGGTTTTCAGTCATTTCATTTTTTATTTCCCCTATTTTTATGTAATTAGATTTTAGTGGAAATTAATTCAATGTCTAGTTTTTGTGCACAAACTTGGTGAGAAAAGTTGATTCTGATGTCATTTATTTCACTCTTTATCAAAGCTGCTTATAAATCCAGCCGCCATTTTTACTGAAACACTTGGATACTTTCTAACTAACTGACTTCAGTTCAAAGACCTCAGTAAATTTAAGCCCCGATTTTCACATTAATGCAGATTTAGACTGAAAAGGATTTTTATTAAACCAAGAAGTTTGTTTTTAATTTGAAGAAAGATGATAAATAATGTAAACAGAGCATCTCCACCTGTTACCTAGCAGGCGGTACTTCGCCTGTTACTTAGCAACCCCAGAACTCCAGCATGTTTGGTCAGCTGGTTTTACCGCTGTGCAAAAACTAAAAGTGTTCTGTTGTTGACTTACCATCCAGATATAACTTGTTGCATTCTTCTTGGTTGTGCAGGAGGCTCCACTACTGCTTTTCTAATATGTATGGCTGTATAATTGCATGTCTGACTGCAGTTGTTTTCACATGCATTGAATTGGGAGTTGTGGCTAGCAGCAGGTTTAGTGACAAGACGCCCTGAAACAGCTCATTCTGCAAGGAGCTCAAGACTAAAATTTAACTTTAATGATTTTGTGCAATAAATCTAATAAACATGTTCATTATCTTAATGCACCTAAAATTAACTAGTAACTTTTCAGCAAAACATGGAATCTTGTTTCCATTAATAATTTTTTAATATTGATAAAGAAGTACTTTCTTCATTTTCTGATTATTTCACTTGTCCAAGACATTTTTTCCATGTTATAAATTAAATAATCTGCTAATGAAAGCAGAACTTTTTCACAAATAGTAAGGAATTATTGGCTTAAAACAAGCTCACATTTCTTGCTGAAAAGTTTCTGTAAGTTAGTTTAGTCTCATCTCAAGTGAACTCAGACATTTACAGTAGGAACTAGACCAAACATAATTGGTAAGATTGTGTTTGTTTTTGCAGTGTAACCTGTTAAATAGGTCACCTTTAAACTGAAATGTGTTTCAATTATTCTATGAGCAGCTTTAGGTAAACGACTCACCTTTTTATTACAGTCTTAGTGAAGGTAAGATGAATCGTTTGTTTTAGTGTCTTTCTTCAACGTTTGCATCCTTGACTGTAAAACATCATTAATGAGCATCAGACGGCAGAAAAGAGGTGGTAAAATCTCTGTGAGATGCATCTAGTTCTGTTTTCTGTAATGAGGAGCAGAAGAGAAACCTTTGCTTCCCTTCGGGGAGAGAAGCTTTTTTTTGTCTTTAGGAGAAAGGTGAAAGGAGACACAATTAGTAATCCGTCCCTTCATTTTCCGCGCTCAGTTCTCCCCGTAGGCCGACCGTTGCTTATCTCAAGCTTGCACTGGGTGAGTGATGGGAAACCCTCTGGACAGGTCAGCAGTCCCTCTCAGGGAAACTCAGAGACTCACAGGACCAACAACCATGTGTGCAAACACTCTAATGGCTACTTATGTTACATTCCTGCAGGCAAATGCAACCCAAATATCCAACTATTTCACTGCATCAGGGCCTTTGTAGATAGAAAAAGATGAGCACATTTCTACATTCTTAGATTCATTTCAGAAAACTTGCTAATTACTGAAAAGTTGTCTGAAATTTGAAGTATGAGAGGATGTTGCTGTGTTGATTTCACACAGGATTTTCTCAATCAATAGAAAATGACTCTGTGTGAAATCTCCTGAGACAAATGTTTGTCATTTGCCAACAGATTATAAACCGATTCCCCATCTGGGAAAGAGGAAGGGACTTTCTGTCACTACATGCATCCTGTAATTCCTGTAAATAAATGAGAAATCTTTCATCGTGCACAGCTGTTGTGTCTTTGCAGATGTAGCTTCTTCAATGCTAAAGTATTTCCAAAATTTCTGAGATTTTTCACTTTTCAAACTCAGAAATGTTAACGTTTTTCCCAGAAAATGTCAGACGTGTTTCAGCACAATGTGGATTCTCTACTCAGCTTGTTAAATATTCAGGGTTTTCTGATGTGTTTAAAATAATATCATCAAACCTTATTTAGTTTTTCTCATCAATTAAAAAGTATTTTTGATAAAATAAAGCTAAAATCCACACTACAACAGCTGTTGTAGTTTCAGATAAAATGAGGATGGAGGAGAAAAATTATTGTCATAAATAAGGCGACAAACGCAGCACCTGATGCAGCAAACGTAAAAATCTACAAATCCTTCTTGCTGCAAATCAGCGCTGGCCTGCTGTGCAGACCCTGCTCTGCGATGTGGATCCATATTTCTCTTACGGTTTTCCCTGTAACTGCAGCCGCCTTTAGGGATCGCATCTCAACAGAACAACCTTTAGGCAGATCAATAAAAGCCATGAAGAACCAATCTTAATAAACTGGAGCATGATGCCAGTGTGGAGACATGAAAAAGCACAAAGATGTGAAATATTTTTACCTTTTGTGATTGAATCTCTGAAATATGGAGCAACATTAGAGCCAAACTCAGAATAAAATTAAATAAAATTACGAGAATGAATAAATAAATGATATTATGTGAATAAAGTCACAATATTATGAGAATAAAGTTGCAGTGTTATGAAAATAAAGTTGGAATAATACAAGAATAAAGTCGTATCAGAATAATGTCACAAAATGAGAATAAAGTTGTAGAAGTACAAGAAATACATTTTTAAAAAGATTTTTTTCTTAAAATATTATGACCCAATTCTCTTAATATTTTCACTTTATTCTCTTAATATTATGACTTTATTTTTGTATATTTTCTTACTTTATTCTTGTAGTTTTATTTTTCTATTTTCTTTGTACGACTATTACTATGTTAAGAATACAAACAGCGTGCCTCATCCACCAGGTTAAGTCCTTTTAAACACTTTTAAAAACATAAAAATGGCCGTTCCACCTCTCACGGATCAGTAAGACAATCCTTAACGGATGAGAAGTGGAAAAAGCCTCACCAGCTGCAGTTTGGGCTCAGCTCTGTTGCTCTCAGAGGAACTTTCTGTTTTTAGCTGCAGGGCTTCTGCCAAAATCTGAGCCGGCTGACAGAAGTGGAGAGCCCACGTCTCTCTTTCAAATACAGCAATTATAAAAAAGGAGGAGCGCAGATGACTGACGGCCCACCGCGTGTCGGTCTGGCTGCTGCACGCTCCCCTCCGCGGGGGGTCAGGAGGCTCTCAGCATCTCAAACTGCTTCCACTGGAGCACAAAAACCGTCTCTGGAATATTCTCAGCTGGGGAAAAGGACGGACGCCGCTTTCGCATCAGGAAGTCTGCAAGTATCGGAGGAGAAAAAAATGAAGGCTCACCAAGAAGTTCGGTGGAAAAAGGAAAAGTGTTTATAAGTTTGACTTTAACCAATTTAGCTCCGTCTTACATCATTTGTATTTCAGCACAGAGTCAGAGAGTTGAACTTTACTCCCTCAGCTAAAAACACTGCAGACTGAATGTGAGCAAACCTCAGATTTAATTTACATTTAATTTAAAAACACGACAGAAAAAAAACAAACCTGCAAACAAAATGACTTTTATTTACAAAGTGTGTCCAGTTTAAATGAAGAACTTTGGTTGATAAAAGACCCATCTATCTATCTATCTATCTATCTATCTATCTATCTATCTATCTATCTATCTATCTATCTATCTATCTATCTATCTATCTATCTATCTATCTATCTATCTATCTATCTATCTATCTATCTATCTATCTATCTATCTATCTATCTATCTATCTATCTATCTATCTATCTATCTATCCATCATCCATCCATCCATCCATCCATCCATCCATCCATCCATCCATCCATCCATCCATCCATCCATCCATCCATCCATCCATCCATCCATCCATCCATCCATCCATCCATCCATCCATCCATCCATCCATCCATCCTCCATCCATCCATCCATCCATCCATCCATCCATCCATCCATCCATCCATCCATCCATCCCATCCATCCATCCATCCATCCATCCATCCATCCATCCATCCATCCATCCATCCATCCATCCATCCATCCATCCATCCATCCATCCATCCATCCATCCATCCATCCATCCATCTTTTCTTTATAAAGTCACTAGGTTAACAAATATTTATATATATAAAATCACAAAATATTTACTGCACCAATGAAAATACTAAATAAATAAATATTGCATTAAGTTAACTGATCAATATAAATATTGATCAAATGATCAAGATTTTCTGTTTTTTG